AAAAAAAAAAAAACCTAGAGGTCATACGTACGTCGCTGTAAACAAGGTTAGTAACTTATACATCGATCATTCCCTATTACGAAATAGCCAAACCGTCAAATAAATGGATGGAGCTTGCTCCACAAAGTCTTTGAAGTAAAACTGAAGAACCTTTAAGTCAACACAACGAATAAAGGCTGCTGTTAAAGCGTCGTAAAACCGTTGAAGGCCTTTTTCATGCTGATTTGTAAAACCTTTTCTTTTTCTAGGAATCTAAAAGTGTGGACATTGTAATAAAAATTTGAACCAGGAACAGTTATCAAAGAAAAGAAGAGAACAAAGAGTTCAATATGCAGGATTACTAGATCACCGGAAAACTCAGTTGCTAATATCGTTATTAAAAATGTTATTTAAAATGAATAAGCCATTTGACTGGAGCACCTATTTTATGGTTACCACAAGAGACAGAAATATACTGATGATATTTAATGGTTGAAATCAACCTGAATTTCAATTTTTGCCCTCACTATTGTCATAGCGGATGTTAAAAGGCATAAATGGGCCAATCCTTCTTGCATTACAATAGCAGCAACATCCGCGTTTTTTGCTGGCTGAAAATAATTGCTTACGCAGTCTACCACTTTTTACCTATTAACAAGCAGTTACTTCTGAATAGAGACACTAAAAAGCCAGATATTTTTTTTTTTGTGTACGGTGCAGCTATACATAATAAAGAAGTCTGATAAACGCATCGCTCGCCCAATTTGACAGCAACGAGGTATCTCATTAAGGAAGAGAATTCAAACATCACATACATCTAAAGCCATATTCAAGCGATCCAAATCTACGGAATCCCAAAATGGTTTCACCAATACAAATTTCCGGCCGATCTCAACATCTAATGTATGATACGCACCCATTTTAACATGCTCATTTTCAACAACATTCTTTCCTTTCAGATGAAGAGTACCTCCTGCCGCATCAAAATCAACCGTTTCTATACAAATAGACAATATGGTGTGAACACGTTGACTAAAATGATAACCTTCTTGAAAGTAAAATTGAAATGGATATGCCGCTGATTTGAAAGAAGTTGAATCAGGAAGGGAAGGATTTATCAGTTTTTATTCTTCAAACAAGAGCATCCTAACCAGCCGAGCTCACGTTTGCTAGATACCATAAATTTTGAAATCGAAATTTTAAAAAAAAAAAAGCAATACAAAGTGAGTTACCTAGAAGTAGTGCCAGTATTTGATTCGGTAACCACCTTTCTTATTGTGGAGCATCTTAAGGTGTCACCGACCCTTACAAGATTGTAAAGATGCCACATATCTTCTGCTTCCTCGCATATTAAAGTTACATCTCTAAACAAACTCAAAAAGTATCTAAGCAGTATTTGGAATTAATTACTGGAAGACTATAACCCAGTCAAAAGCCTGCTGTTCTCAACAGGGACAGGACGTGAAAAAACCAGTTCACAACAGAAACGCCAAATTCTGAGGACAAAATAAAGCTTTCGTCCCGCAATTTCAAAACCAAAATCGCAACTGCTTTTAAAGGGTGGTGATTATTACCAGTTACAGCTTTAAACTAATCTGGAACTAAAATTCTTTTCAGATAAAAAATAAAACACACCCTGCGCCGTCTTTGTCGATTAAACGCTTCAAACATTTCATCGTTGTTGTATATCGTTTTCTCGAACATAAATCGTTCCTTGAAAAAAAACCTGGAGAAGCGGAGATAAGATTATAATTCTGACGTCCAGTCAAATCCAGTAATAAAAAAAAAAAAAAAAAAAAAACGCTGTTCAAACAGCTG